GGAGTTTAGTGGTACTTTTCACACATATGTAGCTTATATAATTTACTCCATATAGGTTTAAAATAAGTTACGTGAGAAATTTTTATTGTTTATGAATGTATAATTAAGCAAATAACTGTTCATGATTTTATATTTAAAAATTCATAAAAGACAGTTGTTCCAAAAGAAAGAAAAAAATTTCTCCCATAATATGTTTTGCATAATTGTATATGTTTATATTACTATTTTTCCTTTGTTATTCATGACAAAAGGGGGGGAGCGATTAGTATTTATTTTAGATAATTGAGTATATGAGTTAGGGAGATAGCATTTTTGATATTTGATTTTAATATTTGACTTAGGGGAAGTCATATATATGTTGGAATTTAAATATTGGCAGTAATTTTCAGCTTTCTCTTACTTTTTCATGTAGTATTATTGTTTTCATGTATTTCAGGAAATATGTTCGATTAATTCTGCATATTTGGATCCAAATATTTCCCAACACATTTCTATATTACTGATAGGTCAAACCCCCAAAGTATGAGTACAACTCAGACAATGACTGTCGTAATTGGAAGAAACATTATGAATCACAATTATTGACAAGTTGCATCCACCTAATGATCAACCACTCCCAGAATGACAAACGACGTCTGTTGTGTGAGCATCTTATTCTTGACATTCGATGGGCAAGTGACTTGATCTTCTGAACTAGCATATTCTCTCTATTGCATCCCAATCTTCAATCAATGCAATCACCCACTACTTTTTATAAATTTCAGACATCTTACAAAAATTTCTATAAAGTTGTTCTAAATCTGTCACGTCATTTTTAGTTATCAACAATTAACGATGGCCCAAGCAACAGGCTGAGACAAGCATTCTTAATTCATTCGTATGGCGATGGACGAGGACTAGATTTTCAATGTGAAGGCTGCACCAAAGGATCAACAAGCTGCCGAGTTCAAATAGGAGATCATCTTGTGCTTGATCCATTCCTGGCTATCACAGATAGAGAAGGCGAAGTGAGTGACTGCAGGTTACACAACCATGTACTCTTTAAGCCTCCTAAAACAGTGTCATCAAACAAGAAATAAATTTGCAATTTAAAAGTTTAGACATCGATGCTGTAGGTTTGATATTCAACTTTTAACATTTTTTTGCTGAGTACGCAGTTTATGGCGTGCTATAATGTGAAAACAAAAACCGCCTCTTTGCTTTAAATGCCACCAATCAGGTTTTATCCTTCTGTTTATTTATGTGTTCTAACAAAGAATTGGAGCATAAATCCTGCTAAGAATTTTGATAAACTTCATTAAATAATTTTATTATGTAGGCCATATTAAATTTTTGCATCGATGGTAATTGTCACATAGTTTCATACGAAAAATATGTACAACTCATTATCTAATTTCTGATTTGAGTAAATGCATTGGTTCGATACATTTACGCCCATACCACGTGTAATTAGTGGTGGCAAATGGGCTGAGCGGCTGAGCCGATTATCACATAGTTTCATACGAAAAATATGTACAATTCGTTTTCTAATTTCTGATTTGAGTAAATGCATTGATTCGACACATTTATGCCCATACCACGTGTAACTAGTGGTGTCAAATGGGCCGAGCCCGCTCGACGAGCTCGCGAACGGTTCGTGGGCATGGCCCACAAGCCTAAAGTTTACGAGCTCGGCTTGTGGGCTCATAAAAAATCTGAAGACAAAAGAAAAAAAAATTAAAAATTTTATAAAAAGAAAAAAAACACGAGCTCATGGCTCGGCTCGTGAGCTTACGAGCTCGACCCTTGAGCACGAGCTGAGATCAAGCGAGCTTGAGCTCGGGGCTAGATGGGCCGAGCCGCCCATTGTCACGACTATGTGTAACGCACCTGCTTAAAACTAGTTTTACAATATGATTTATTCATCTTATCTCATTCTTGTTAGATAAGAAATACAAAATATGAACACAATAAATTGGAACACTACTATACTATACGAAAATGAATAAATACATGCATTAAATTAATTATTCATGCATTACAGTGCAGTGATTATCATTAAATCAAGAACTACGATTCAGCCCCCCATTTGTGATTGGTAATAGTTCAAATTAAAAGCACTCATTATTATACTTATATAAGTTATGTGTAACTCCCATAATCGTGTGCACGAAATTCAATCCAATTCCTCTCAATTTATACATAATATTTTCCTTCTCACTTTTGCCACCAATACAAACCGATTATATTGTATTCTCTCCATCTGCAATGGATTATAGTGTTCTTAAGTTGGAAAATCGGAATAAGGCTGACAGCTTATACTTCGAAGAACAGCAGCCTCTGGGGTAATGTAGTTACGTAGTTTTTTTTTCCATTTGATTTCTTGTATCGCACGTATATTAGATTGGACAAAACTAGACACAGCTGAAATGACACATTTTGGCAACTCTCTTTTTCTTTCTTAATCTTGTCCAGTCGAGCGTTATATAGATGCATGGATGGAACATGAACAGATAAACTCACTTTGTTTTCTTCATTTTGTAGATCATGGGAACAACAGTCCGTATTTGGAGATGGCTTCAACAATTGTGTACCAAGTTTATTTGAATATGAACAATATTTGCTGCCTTATCAAAATAGCAATAATTCCAAATATGAACTAACTGATCTCGAAGAAATTTCTGGTGAATTTGACTTGTGGGATTTGACAAACCTACAATCTCTTTACAACGAACTAGTTGTTGACGTCGAGCCTTTGAACATGGCTATGGTTGATTCTCATGCCCATCAACGAGAAAATGTTTTGAGTGAAGCCAGGAATGTGGTTTATGGGAGAGAATTATCAGTTTCAGACAGAAACATTGGGATGAAAATGAAAAAAATTGGAAGATACAAATCTTGTGCACTGGAGTTGGACGAGATTCAGAAATACTTTGATGTTCCAATATCTAAAGCTGCTAGGGAATTGAACGTCGGATTGACTGTCTTAAAGAAACGCTGCAGAGAACTGAACATCATGAGATGGCCTCATAGAAAGATCAAGAGCATAAAGTGCCTCATCGACAATGTTAAGGTAAGTCATCTATATAGAGTGTTTCGTGGAAATTCCTTTTCACACCATTTTAAGCTTTATTTTCTTCCAGTCTATAGGACAAACAAGTATTCATGTCCAATAATACTCATTTTGTTTGTTTTTAGATTTAACATTAATGGTATGAGTAATGCTATTTGCAGTTACTCACTACCGTATTCGTCCTACGGGGCATACATGTGGTTGTTAGTACTTTGATGCATTAATATAGTAATTTTTTATTGTCTTATGTATCAACTCATTAAATGCAACGTGCATGTCTATGGTAGTGAGCGACTGTAAATAGCATTATTTTAATGGTATAGTGGCCGTATGAATTGTTAATTATGGGATTCTGATTAGCAAGTTTCTGTTTAATTTTTTTCTTGATTATAGGAACTGGGCTTGACGAATGAGATTGAAATTCTGGAGGAACATAAAAGGATGCTAGAGAAGCTTCCTGAAATGGAACTAACTGAAAGAACAAAGAAACTGAGGCAAGCTTGCTTCAAGGCCAATTACAAGAAGAGAAGGTCCCTGGAGGCTTCTTATGCTTGACCTTATCTTTTGATTATTTTCTGTTTACATTGTTTCGTCTAATTTTATTTATTATTCCAATGTGAGTATCAAACTGAGTAATGTGCTTGATAGATTCAAAACTTATCTCGTTCCACATTTGTTCAAAGATTTCTCTATGATTGTGTAAAAACACAAATGAAACAACTTATTTCAGTTTTTGTCTCGTTTTCCCTTATTGTACAATAAGAACAATGCTTAATTGAAAATGCAACTCTCACGAGTTCGACTGACCCTAACAAAAGAGTAAAGCACCTAGTAAATACTTCCAAGCCATTACTTTTCCTCACTAGACATCTTAGGGCAGTTTAATATGGTAATAGATTGGATTGCACGCAATCTTACACTGTTACAGGAACTCATTGTGAATTAAAAAAAAAAAGAATAGGAATGAGGAACAATGTATCATTATGCAAAAATTAATCCAGGTAAGTTTTTAAGTCCAACAACTGAGACATTCAGAGTTTTTTATGACATTTCTGATCTAATAAAACATATGTTAGTGTTCATATTGGCTTAATAAAGTTAGATTCTGGGGAATAACTCTGTTTTGGTTGGAAAACCTAAAGAAATTAGTAATTCCCCTTTTGCTAATTGGAGAAATTATGCGTCAAGTCAACTTTCGATATACATACATAATAATACTAGGCACAAAACAATAGAGGAAAACCAAAGGTCCTATCTTACCATGCCAAAAGTTATTCCAAAGCAACAATGCAGGCATTTCTTCTTTGAGCCACTTCCAAAGGAAAATTAAACTAAGATGGCATGTGCAGAAACATTATTTTCGTTAGACTCAGCAATAAAGAAATCAAGATTGTCAACACTTCCGAAATACAGTTATCAATTCAACAACATAAGATGCACCTACTTTTTAGGGTAAGAAGGGATAGAGAAAATTGCTTCAAGAGAAAATTCCATCATAACCCTTGAGAATCTCATCATTTCTTAGTTGGGCCAATTGACCGAGTTATGAAAACTGATTGTATGCAAAAAATACTTCATGAAGCAATGCAGTTATCATTTTAACATGCTATGAACGGGTATAAAGATAAAAGAATCAAATGACCATAAACATAAGAAAGAGGCACTTTCATTCATATGTCTAAGCATTAAATTTGAATCCATTATCTCAATGACTCCTCTATAAAGAAGCAATTTTGCATTCGAAGCCTATAATATGTGCATGTATACACAATCGAAAAACGACCAATAAGCAAGTAAACAAGAGAAGCAAACACATAAACTATTCCCATGATATTATAAACTTTATTGTTAAATTGAATCAACATTACCAACAGAAAAGAAGCAAACCGCCATGGCAGAACAGCAAGATAGCTGAAAAAATGGAATTTGCATCATTTTCTGAATCAACTCAACTATCAATGCATTTGAAACCGCGGCAAACACACAACCAGACAATGAACAAGATGGTGCAAACGAACAAATCAAGCGATAACACTATCCACACTTGCTTTTTCCAAACTTTCTTGGCCTTCTGATGGTTGTGGTTTCCCATCAATTCACCAGAGTACATCCCATTCTTGTGCATTACCATTGACAACTCCCGGCTCAATATAATCCCGTCCCTATCGTCATCTTCAGCCCCAATGTCGACCTTCTTCTTGACACCTCCTCTACCCTTCATGCCCCCGCTGCCAATCTTAAAATCCCCAAACAATCTATTATTCTTCTTCTTCAAGTTCATCGACGAATCCCCATTTGGCCTCCCCAAATGGCCTGAACCGGAACACAAACTGCCGCTTTCGTCAAATCTTTCACCTCTTGGAACCTCTGGTTCCGGGCCTGGACCCAGCAACCGATGGAAAATCGGATTGAATTCCCCCTGAAAACAATGAGAACTCACCCGGTCCAACCTCTTCTTCCCCAGATCGCCCTGGAAAAACTTGTGAAACGTTTCTTTTGCGCTCCTGAGGAAGCCCAATCCCTCAAATTTCTCCAGTCTTTCATCAAAAATCGCGAAATAAACGAAAGGGTCATCGATCAAGAAAGTGTAGGTTCGAGACCGGACGGTGTGGGTGAAAATGGAATGAAACGGCGGCGTTTTCTCCAAACATTTTCCGGCGATCGATCCAAGTTTCTCATCCTTCGAATTGAACTCAGCTAATACCGTGGTGCCCCTGGCAATGCACACATAATGAACCAGATCCGGTGCCGAAACCATCATTCAAATCCGACCCGACCCGACCCTTGTTGTTCATCAAAAACCCAACCTCGTACGTTTTTTGTTCTAACAGATTCTGCTGCAATTAAGGACAAAATTTATATGCCCAGAATCCTTAATTGTTCTTTTTGAATGGGGAAATGTGAAAAGGGTATTGAGATCGTTGATTTTTAGGGTTTCAGAAAGGTATCGGAAAAGGAGGAGGTGGAGAGGAGAGAAACACCTCAACAACCAACTTTTCCACCACCCTAAGGATGCTTTGCCCTTGCAATAGTTGTGGGGAATTAAAAAAAAATATCTCCTATTTCTTTTTTGTATATTAATTCAATTGTTGACAGTAAATTATATATAAAAAAAACACGATTATTCTTTTCGGTTATATAAAGAGAATTTGTGGGAATCTTTCATATGTTCATAGGTGCTCATGATTGATAATCAAGATTAATTATAGTTTATAAACATACTTTAGAGTAATGTTATTCATCCTCAGTGAGAATGAAAATACAGTCTATGTGGTTTTAAATGATAGGTTAAATAAAAATTGAAATTAATTGATTTATTTAATTTCACCTATCATTTAATACAACATTGAAGCCACGTAGATTATGTTTTCATCCCCAGTGGGGATGAATAGCATTACTCCATACTTTATCCCAAATTACATGTATTACTACTATTAAATTACGTAATTTATCAACTAAAATGGAAATCCAAACAAGACAGAGTCAATTTCTCGTAGAGAAACTTATATTTGAATATATTACCAATAGACCGATATAATTATTATATTTTGACACACTATTTTCATTTCTTGAAATTTACTAATCTCTAATGGAAGGTAGGATATTAATCTCGGTAAATAGAATTTAAATTATCAACAAACAATCCAACAGTTGGGACTTTCTTTAACCCAAAATGTGATGAGTCGACATTGGTGTACCGAACCCCATGAGTAAAGATCTCTTGGGAGGATTATTCAATACACACAAAAATCAGCCAAAATTATGTCTCCATTCGCTAATGGATTCTGGGCTACGGCCTGCAAACCAATTTTCCAGCCCACGTCCATTATTTTTTGGGCTTGGGATCCTTGAGGCCTGATGAGTTGTTGGTCCACCTGAACCGGATGAGTCATGGCTAAGCCCATTAATAGTCCCCTTTTTTGTTGATGATTTCCACTGTGCTCCTGGAGGGCTTTGCTGCTTGACTGGACCAAGGCTCATTACTTTTGCTTTTGCAGACTTTGTTGAGGCCATGTAGCTAGGGACATCATCCGATCGTGGCTGACGTGTGGTGTACAGGCCTGTCTCAGTTGAGCCTCTCCTGTGTCGGCCCATGTTCTCGTTTTTAGACCTCAGTTGTGTGCTGGAATCCTTTACAACAGTTTCCTCAGACATCGTGTCTATTGTGGTACTGGTACCTGTCACATAGGAACTTCCCAAGGCCACCATTTGCCGGGAATGGTAGGGTTGTGCAGCCATCCACCGATCGAGCCAATTCCACCCCCACTGGGATTCGTCGCTCTCGGGGCCGTAAATTCCATCATCGTCAAAGTTTTGATTGGAACCTAAAACTTGTTCGTGTTGTTGCTATCGTTAACATATATCCAACATTAGTGCATTGTAAGTTTGTAACTTTAGGTCATGTGCAGAATGGTTGGCCTAAAAAAAAGGAAGGAAAAAAGATTACTTAAAAAGAATATCCAACCTGGTAGGCAAGAGCATAGGCAAGAGCTCCCTCCCTTTTCATTTCAGAATCATGTTTGCGCATAGAATTTTTCCTGGTAATTTTGTCAATGCCAGAATTCCTCCTATCCCGGGCTCCGGTTTCAATCTTCTTTATTGGACTCCATTTCTTCTTCTCTTCTTGATCTAGTCTGATTTTCTCTTCTATTTGTTCATGTAACTTGTCGTGCACTAGTTGAAGCCTTCGTGCACGTACCCTTGACTGCACGCGTACAAGTGCTTGCATGCATCGCATTGTCATTTGAGCTTGCTTGCGCACATTATGGCCCCTCACCAGAGCTTGCAGCCTAACCAATCCTTTCAAAGCTCGTAATGCTCGCCTTGCCTACACATAAGCAAAAGTAAACATACATCACAAAATGGATGCTGTGCTTAACTTCCTTTCTAGAAAAGTGACTTTAATCACTACCAAACATGGCTTAAACTCGAAGCGTGCTAATTCAGTTTTAGAGACAGTTGTGCAATGGCATTTGATCATATTGTTCAGAATCCTCAAGTCATGAAGCCAAATTCTGAATTTAAATCCAAGAAACGTACAACATGAACTCCTGTAAAGTTCCCAAGTTTGAGGTTACTCTATACAAAGACGATCTGTAGAACTTCTTGGATTCTTATGTTTTGATGGCATGTTTAGTAAGGAGAATAAGAAAAGAGAACTATGCAATACGATATAGCAATCAGAAAAGAGGGAATTTACCAGATATCCTCTGTAATATGATTGTATAACAGTTGCTGCCATATCTTCCTTGGAGCGTCGTCCATAACCAGCTAATCTAACTACTTTAGCGGCTGCTTGAGCGGCAGCAACTGCAGCTTCAGCTGCTGCTGCAGTCGCCTCAGCCACAGCAATAGCACGACTCTGATTTTCAGCCACTGAAGACGACTCAATACTCTCACCATTTGTAACATCTGAAGAACTTTCCACCGGGAAATGTTTAAGGTACACAACTTCTGGCTCTTCGTATTGCCATTTCTCGACATTTTCCTTCTAAAATTTCCAATCACGTTCCATAATTAGCACTCATCATCTATCACTCAACTAATTAAAAATCATGAAATGATTTTCTCGTCCTTCAAAAAAAAATATCAAATGAGTGGATTTATTGGGATCTAACAAAACTAAGCACATGATGATCAAGTCGGTTTGATGTGATAGCAATTTGTCATTAGCTCTACTTTTTGTTTGGCAATGTTGATCAGGGGACCATATCACCCAAATCTAATGGGGAAACCCAATCAATTGCCAATTTATATAATGTGTGGTTACATCAGATATCTACAAAATGTTTATGACCCTAAAATGTTGAGGAATAATCCCTATTTGCGAGAACAATAATAGAACGATAAAATAAGCAAAGAATGCACATATTCATAATGGCTCATCCTCGATGTGAGAGCTACGTTAAAAATAAGAGAATAAGGTGATCTTATGCTTTGGCATATCAACAGATCAAGAACACACACATTTATATTTTCACGCAGTTCCAGCTCAAGGTCACAATGAGATACAGAAATCTTGTCCCAAATGAATATGAAATAGAATTCTTATTTCAATCAACTAACCTTCTTCTCCAACGAGTCCTTTGAAGGGTGCTTGAACACCTTCTTGACAGTTGAAAACCAGCCACTTCCTTTCTTTCCCATTTAGTTCTGTGGGATGAAAACTGAAAAACAGAAAATGTGAAACAACATCATAATCCCAGAACCTTTTTTTTAAGATTTCATTCATAATATTGGATCAAACCTTGTACAGAGTATTCTCTTGTCATTTCTTCTTGATAACATTAAGAATGCAACAAACTATAACACGAACATGTGAAAAAGTATAAAGAAAACGTGTTGGCATAGAAAGACAGTGTGTGTTTGTGTATTTTCTAAGAGAGAGAGAGAGAGTCAAGAAGTATTGTAACTGCGGAGCCGCTCACTTGCCATTGGAATTTATCATTCTCACGGGGAAAGGAGTCTCGTGTGAGTAATACTTACAGTTGGGATCAGCCAATGGTCTGCTCCCACGTTTCATTTGCCTTGGATACTCGAAATAGTAAATATGTAATGGTGCTTTACATGCATCTACAAGTTAAAATCATATTTGATTGATAATTAAATTATATTTTAAGTAATTATAAGTTGTGGGTCCTATAAATTGTGCGAATGATAAGTTAATAGTAATTACAGATCCTATGAAATATGTGGATGAAAAACATATATGACCACAAGTGATAAAAAAAAAATCACCAATCATGCACTAAATTGTGTTCTGTAAAAACATTTGAGAGGTATGTAAGCTATCGTGTGACTATTTATTTAACTCGTTTGTGCATACATACAATACCAACAACATACACGTACTTGAATACTCCCTACTCAATTCTGTTAGAATTGTTTTAAATCTCTCTTAAACCTGATCATAACTTGTATAACTTGATTGTCGATTATATAACACATTAAGCACCATGATGGTATCAATTTATTTTCCAACTAAGCCAGCAACAGTAGATTTTATACATCTACAAAGTTGGAAATCATGTAATGATACTACTTACCTTATCAACACAATACATATCGAAAACAAATGCTTGTAATTTTTGTTCACAAAATCATGTTACATGATTACCTATTAAGCCCTTGTATGGTACAGCTAAAATTAATTTTTAGTAGATTTTGATGATAGTTATGGATCCCATTAAACATGTAATTGTAAATGAATTTAAGAAAAAAACGAATTTTGAAAAATTGGGTGGCCAAACAGGAACTAATTAATGTTGGTGTTGTCAAATGAGTAATTGGGCATGTTGTAACTTTATGGGACCTTGTGAATTCTAGGCACTGAGTGGCCATATGAATTCCTTTTGAAGCTTTGCTTTGATGGTACGTGAAGTTTGAATATGATCATCAGAATTTCAGTTAAGAGAGAAATTACAGCCTTTAGGTCAGGTGGATCATTGTCTTTGGTTTGCTTGCTTCCAAAGGAAAATTGGAGCTAAAATGTTCATTGTCCTCTGACCTTTTAGATTGGTTTGATTGAATGTGGAGATAAGCACCTTTCACTTTATTATTTAAGCATACATTTAGCCAATGTTTGAGAAC